GTAGCTGCCTTCAATTTCTACTGTGATAGTCTTCCACATCCCAGGGAATACGATTGAAGATAATTCTTCTTGTATCCATCTTCAGCCTTGTTGTGATAATTTTCCACATCCTGGGGAACACCGTCTATCAATGTTGCTACATCTCGAGCTTTTTGAATCAACTTTCTAAATCATAGCGAATGTCGTCGAAGACCACCTTATCACAAACCGTTCTTCTCAAATCTAGGTGACAACCTCCACAATCTTAGCGAATGTCGTCGAAGACCACCCATCTCGTGCCTTCTTTTCAAATCTGGGTGACAACCTTGTCAATCTTAGCGAACGTCATCGAAGATCGCCCATCTCGTGCCATCTTCTCAAATCTAGGTGACAACCTCCACAATCTTAGAGAACGTCGTCGAAGACCGCCCATCTCGTGCCATCTTCTCAAATCCATATGATTATTTCCACCATCTTAGCGAAAGCTATCAAAAACCGCTTCATCTTGAATCGTTCTTTTCTCAAATCAAATAATAACCTCCCCAATAATAGTGAAATCTATCGAAAGTCATTTAATCTTGAACCGTCCTTCTCAGATCTAAGAGAGAGACTCTTTTAGGGCCTTATGTAGAAAGCTTCTTCATCTTGAATCTTCAAATCTTCTTGTCCTTTATTTTAGGAGTAATCGAACTTTCTAGCTTTAGGAAGAACCTCATCTTAAGATTCTTCGATCTTCAAGTCAATATCTATAGAAATCTCCATCCTAGGGATCCTTTGTGATTATAATCAATCACTACACAAATCAGTTTTCAAATTCGCTTAATTAATATACAATCGGTAATTTGATTATCATCAAGCTGATCATCAATCAAGACCGTAATCGAGCCGATTACCAATCAAAGGTATCAAAAGTTAATCATTCGAATATGATTGTCATCGGGCTGATCTTCAATCAAGGTGCAATCGTGCCGATTACCAATCATGTCAATTTGCTTATAGGGGCTAACTGGCATACCAAGAACCCGAAATTACTGCATGAGGTCATAATCTAATATGGGGGCCATGTATCTTGTTGCCATACCAGCGCGCGCTAGTGCATACCGTTGCCAGTATTTTGCTTTGTCGCCAGGTGACGAGCTTTAGCGCCTGACGACAACCTTGTCGTTTTGCGCTGGAGCCGCTGTTGCTGCTGTTTGTTGCACGGTTTCACTTTGAACCTTAAACTTCGTCGTTTCCTTTCAACTAAATCCGCTCAATTCTTTTGCAAATTAAAGCTCTTCATCTTTAATTTACCGATCCATGTAAGTTTTGCTCAAAATCCTCTTATCTTGGAAGAATTTCATGCGTTTATATTCACGGTTTTCCAAAAAATCCGGGAATGTTCTTGCTCGCTTGCTCTTTGGAAGTGATAGCTTCCTATACCTTGAAACTCTGTCAAAAACCCTATCATTTGAGATTTTACCGAGTCCAAGTTAATTTTTGCAGAGATCTTTCATCTTGGGTTAACCTAAGGCTTAGTGTTGCTTGATTCATTGCATAATACTCAATGTGTTTTTAACACATATGACTTGTCATGAATCGACTCAAAGCATTTTGACACATATGACTTGACATGACTTAAGGTATAAAATTGACTTAATGATGACTCATTTCGTGTGACTCATATGTGAAAAGTATTGACTCACGTGACTCGATGTGTATATGACTCGAAAAGCAAAAATTTTCCGTCATTTTTATTATTAATATAGGGTATCCGACTTTCTCCCGAAAAAGAAAGAAAATAAAAAAAAAGAAGTGAAGTTTTTGAAGGTGCATGTTGAATGAGCTTAATCAAGTATAGGTGTTGACGTTGTATCTCATAGTGCCAGGATTGTAACATCCTAGACTATCCTAGTTGACTCGATAATGAAAGCATTTAGGTAACTTAGGCACGAAGGCTAAGCACCTTATACTTTGTGATGCAATGATAAGTGATTTTGATATGACAAGGCGTACTTCAATGTTTTGTCAAGACTTCATGACAAAAGGTTCCTAAGAGGTGGATTATTTGTCTTTGTATCTGTGATGTGTGTGAAAGTGACGCTAAAGCTAGGCTGCAAAGGCTAAGTGTATAGAGAAATATTATATCGAGAAGAGCCAAATGATGGTGACTCTCGAGCTAGGTAAGCTAATTATGTAGGGATCAAGCCCCCAAATCTTGCTCTAAATCGAAAGAGATGAGCATTGGAAATTCCTTGATATGATCAATTGTGAACGTAAATATGAATGCATTTTTTATTACGGCCGCACCTCATTGTGAGGTTGCCTACGTATCCGTTAGGAATCAGGCCAAACATAGCTCTAGCCGAACCTCGCACAAGTGTGTGTATACCTCAAAGAGGTCTTTAAAGGGTTGTAACGTGGTTAGGCTAAAGGTTGAAGAAGAAAGGGATAAAAGCTCAATACCCTAGATAAGCCCCAAGGTGTGCAACCTTACTTTTGAACTTTATATTTTTATGCTTAAGGTTTCCTCACTTTTGAACTCTTTTTCTTTTGTTTTTTTTTTTTTTTTTTTGCTCTCTTTATTTTTGCTTTTGCATATTTTGATAAGTGTGGGAAATCCCGATCATGCGGTCTATCACTCACTTGACATTCATGTTTCTTAGGCACGGTACCGAGAACTCGATAAGAGACGCAATCCGAGGCGTGTTCTTATCAAAGACATGTTTATATCAATGACATTGGAACACTTGCCCTTTGTACACTTTTATTATTTTTTGCTTATTTGAATTTTTGAGTTTTATGTAAAATCTCTCAAGCTTTTGTAGTTAGAATTTGCATAAGTTGCACACCATCCCATCCCAAGGTTTGGTAGATGTGGGTTAAAAAAATAAAGGTCTATCGTTAAAAAAGGCTCAAAGTGGTTCATCAAGAAATGATTATTGTATATTTGAAAGGTGAAAGGTGATATGATAGGCTACAAGGGGTGCCTCTAATCATAAGTATACCTTGTGCTTAGTTCAACATAATTTTTTATTTTTAGTGCAATGCAATGCGATAATCATATGCAAGAAAAGAAATGCTCATTTTGTTAAAAGGTAAAAAGGAAAAAAAACTACAAAATAAGATTTAAGGAGAATAAAAGGTACCAATTCTATGCTTATTGGGGAAAGGATGAATAAAATAAATAGAAAACGAGGTCACGAAATCTTGTCGTTGAAGCTTGCCTCTTGCCTTATGCTCTTATTATCACTCGGTCTTCTTGCTAGCTGGAGGTATGGAAAGCTTGTTATTATCGATCAAGTATTGGATGGCCTCTTTTAGCTTCCAACATCTCTTAGTAGTATGATCCCTACCTTGATGGTACTTGCAATGTGCATCTGGATTCCAACTAGGCAATCTCTTCTTAGGTGCAGGATCTTGAATAGGTCCAATGGGAGTAATGAGTCCTTTGGCATGGAGTCGATCGAAGGCAGTATCATAGCTCATCCCAATAGGAGTGAACTCTTTCCTTAATTGCTTTTTAGCTAGATCCTTTATTATCCATGGCTAAGACTTCATTGAGATCAAAGGTACTAACATTGTTACTAGAGTGGGCGTTTTCGGAAAAAGAAGGATTGTCGTTCTTTTTTCCTTTCCTGCCACTGTTGTTGCTATTATTATTAGCTTTTTGGTTTGCAAGGTCATCTTCTATTTCAAATCCCTCGAATACTTGTCTTGAAGGTTCTTGATGAACATCCTTACAGATTCCTTTTCAATAGGGACCTCGACCATATTAGCGGAAGTTTCCCTCCACTTGTTAAAGAAAGAGGTGAACCTTTTGTTTTCCTTTTGATTTAGCATCTCAAGTTGTCTATGGTTTGTTTCAACTTGAATGTTGCACTTATATCTATCAATGAAAGTGTTTATTATTCCATCCCAAGTAGAGGTCTTCTCTTTATCAAGAGAAAAGAAACAATGTTGGCAAACGGTTTCAAGAGATAAAGAAAACAATGAATGAAAGGCTTTCTTATCAATCCTTTTCATATTCATTATAGTTTCAAAAGCCCTTAAGTGAAAGTAAGGATTATCCGTTGGCTTGAACTTAGGGATGTCATTGGCATTGAACTTCTCTGGAAGAAGTTCCCTGTCCAGTGAGACCCCTTGTGAGCTAATGCCCTGGAATCTATAGTCATTGGATAGTCTACTGAAGCTTTCTTGCATGAAATCCATTTGTTGTTATTCACAGGGTCATTGATTTGAAGGGCCATAGCCTTCATCAATTCAGTTACGTTAGCCACGTCCTTCCTAAGTTTATTGACTTCTTCTTGAGTTGCCATTATCTTCTTAGCTTTTCTTTTCCGACTGATTGGTTTGTCAAAAATCAGTACTTGAACAAATATGTTTTCCTTGATTAATTTCCCTTCTTTCCTTGACCAAGCGCTGTGGAAAGGAAAATCGGGGATACTCATTGTTAATTATTGGACTCAAGCTCTATTTAACATGCAATAGATGGGAAAGAGTATGGAACGAAAAAAATAGGATGATATAGGTGAAAGAGGAATAAAATGGACCCCCCAACTCAAATGACAGAAAGAAACAACTCATGCATGAACCTAAGACATGGTTATGGTGACATTTTTACAGAGTCTGTGCTAAGACCAATGAGTGTGGATGACAAGTTTGACTCGTGTCATGACCATGGGACTAGAATATGTGACTAGACTTAAAAACATGACTTTTTTCATTAATAAATTGATTAGACCAATTAAGCAAACTGATTAATTAGACTCGTCGTGAAGACTCGAGCAAAAACATGGACTATCGCTGGATGACAAGACTGTTGCCAAACACTAAGGACCAGCGCCAAACAACAACATTGTCTCTTGGCGCTAATCACTAGTGCGTGGCGCTACAGTTCAAACCTAGGGGTGTTAAAAAATACATGACCTGTTTGACCCGGCCTGCTGACCCGTTAACCAAAAAAATACCCGGCGGGGAATTTTGATTTTTTTTTCCAACTTTGCGGCTCGAGTACCCGACCCGCTAAAATATCAGATTTGCGGGTCGGGTAATGGGCCAGACTTTGAGTATTACGGGCACCCGTTAAATATCCTAATTTTAATTTTTTTTTAAAAAACAATTATTGGCTGGAACTCAAATTAGGGTTACTTTCATATAGTCTTCTCTCTCCTCACTTCCTTAGACAATCAGTAGCTGCATCTCAACATTCTCCTCACTCTTTTTCTCTCTCCTCGCTCACTCTCAATTCCCAATCACACACTCTCAATTGTCTCAATTCTGAAGCGAACCTCCTTCCTCCATCTCAGGCGAACCTCCGTTGACCGTTAGTTCCTCACAGTCAGCCGCGTAAGGTTGGTATTTTTCTCGAATTTTTTTGGTTAATTTCTTTGCTTATGTTTGATTATACTCAAGTTGTTTTCTATTAAATTTTTAGGGTTTTTTGTCGAATTTTTTTGGGTTAATTTCGCTACTCGTGTTTAATTATACTCAAGTTATTTTCAATTACATTTTAGGTTTTTTTTTCGAATTTTGTTGGGTTAATTTGCTGATTATGTGTGATTATACTGAAGTAATTATCAATTACATTTTTTAGGTTTTTTCGAATTTTTTGGGGTTTTTTTCGAATTTTTTGGTGGTTAATTTTCTGATTATGTATGATTATACCTAAGTTATTTTCAAATACATTTTTTTGGTTAATTTCGCTGTTATTTTTTGCTTTTTATCCTTTGTGATATTCTATAATTGATTTTTTTTTGTATGATTTATCTTGTGTAGGGATTAAAGCTAGACTTGGTTTTGGAGCGACCAACAATTATCATTAATGAAACTATTGAAGCCTCGGATTTCACAAATGACTGAAATTATCCTCTCTCCCATTTCGTTTGATTTGTGGCTTTAAGATATTGTTTGGACTTTGTAATTTATTAGGTTGTTTTGTTGTTTTAATTTGATGTAAACTGTTTAAACTCTCTGAACTCTCTAGCTGGACACCTTGAACTTTGAACTTTGGTTTGCATTTTGTACTTTGAATCAGAATTTGTTTAAGTGATGAGAATAATTCAAGATAGGGAAGCATGGCAGCAGGTTATTTTTGTTAATGGAAGCACGCTTTTTTTTTTTAATTATTAAAAAAGACAGCAGGTTTTTTGTAAAATAAACACATCAATTTTCTGAAAATGAAAACAACAGGTTTTTAATATTAATAAACACATCATTTTTTGTTTTTTTTTATGAAAACGTTTTTTTTTTTTTAATAAAATGAGCAGGTTTTAAGGCCATATTAACAACATGTGTGTTTTTTTCTATAAAATAAAACATACATATTAAATATTCGGGTACCCGGGGGGTACCCAGTAAAAACGGGTACTCGATAAGCGGGTACCCGCTTTTATCGGGTCGGGTAATAGGCCATCCAAAAAACTACCTGCACTTCCGGGTACCCGAAATCCCGGGTACCCGGCTATGAGCACCCCTATCCAAACCTCTGCGCAATTGCAAGAACATTGGTCAGGGACTGTTTCTAGTACTTTACTCTAAAGGGACAAGCCTAACAGTCGTACTAAGTCAAGTTTGATTAATTTATTTAGACTTTAATCATTTATTAATTGATTAATTAATTTAGCAAAGTCCTTTAGTCATTAATTAATTTGTTTAAACTCATTCACAAGTCAAACAAACAGTTAGATAAAACATACATAGGTGATGCACAAACAAATAATGCACAAGTAGACAAATAGTCACAATATGATGCAATGAGTTTGCAACCTAACCATGTCTCTTGTTCTCTAAAGTTCAGGATATGGGTTAGTCAAAGAGGGTCCATGGTTATGAGTCCGGATGCACCGCGCAGAACCCTTACCTTTGGAAGGGTTGGCGCGAGTGGATGGGACCCCGCGAGCTAAACTCGCTTCCATGGTTTGGTGAATTCTACAAACTCAAATGTACCCTTCGTTGTCAAGAGCGTTTTATTGGGTAGATGAAGCGTGAATTCCCAGAGGGTTATGGCCATATGTAGCACACATATGGGTTTCAGAAAAAAGGGAAAAACTCAAGAAGTAAAACCGAGCAAACAGTACTAGAAAACTAGTCAAAACAAGAAGTTAGATTTCTGCCTCGGTATTGGAAGAATAAAGCGCGAGAAAATAGAGTCTGCCGCCAGACGATGCCTCTGTCGCGGTACTATCGCCAGGTGAAAGAGCCATCGCTCGGCGATGACGCTGTTTTCTCAGCGCTAATTCCTACATGCCTCGACAGTTTTCTGTTCTTGAATTTTCCAGTTTTTTTTTCGTAGCATTATTTCAATTTTAGTTGTGAAAGATATTCCCTAATTTCCCATGTGTAAAAATCCTAAATTTTTGATGCGTTATATATGGTCTTTCCAGTGCGAACATTTTAATGCTTATGCCAATAATGTTAATCAAAATTATGCACATGAAATACTTAGAACTTTTCGAGTCCCGTCCACTCATTCTAAATCATTGCCAAAATAAATTTTAGGAATCAAAATAGAAATCCTCCCTATTGGAGTCGCCAAAAAAGTGTAGGGAATATTTCGAGAATCCTACACTTGAGCCCCAGTGTGATCATACTTAAGCAAGGTGGCGTCCAAAGGGAAGGAAACTAGAGTAAAAGAGTCGCCAACAAGTTTTAGGAACTTGTAAACCGTTCACAGGGTGAAGGTTACACCACTTAACGATCCATGAGATCGTTAACTCCAATAGGTCTGGAACCATGACTTAAAGTTCGGGTATGAAGGTAAAAATCCAACCTAAAAGAGATTGAATCAGCCCTAAAAATAGGCCTCTACTTTATTCTTCTCGTATTCATATGCGCTTTCTGACTAACATACAATCATTAGGTTAACCCTAAACTAGTTTATCTATGTTGGTTGAATATTAATGCACAAACAAATCTATTATTGGCGAACACTTGAATTACAATCATATTAGCTTAAACAAGATTATTAATTATCTTGTTAAGCATGATTACAAGTACAAATTCTCTTTAAACATGCATAAAAGGCGTGATCAAGCAAAACCAATAATAATATCAAGCAACATAAAAATAACAATCATCATAATAATCTCAATCAATCTCAATAAAGCATAATAATAATAGCAAGATACTAGGCATGATACTAACAAGATTAATAACAAACCCTAGCATGTCACTAAACATAAAAGATCAAATCTTTATCCCTAACATGATATTAAAAAGAATAGGAAGCATCATATAAACATACATGATATTAGAAATATTAGTTAATTCTAAACATGATACTAGGAAGCAATAAAAACAACCTAACATGATACTAAGAATTAACAAAATAATCTAAAGCATGATTTCTATATCAAAGATCAATAAATAAATTACTTACTTGGATGCCTCGTATCTCTTTCTAATAACAAAATACACGCTTTAGTAACTTCAAGGAAAATATTAAATCAAACAATTAAATTAAATAATTGAAATAGAGATAGGGATTTGGGACCAAACCCTCAAAAATTATAAACCTTTCACGTCTAGGGCGAAGGCAACTTCAAACTTGCATAGGTGTATCTAGAACTAATGAATGTGGAATTTTGTAAGAGGGAAGGTTTAGAAAAAGAATAGAGAGAGAGAAAGCTTATAGCTTTTAGAGAGAGAATAAAGAGAAAGTGATTGTTGAATAATGATTGGGAATTGTTGATGAATAAAAATGGGGAGATTAGACCCCTATTAAAAGAAAAATAGTCTGGAACCCGAAACAAGTCATATTCGGAATAACATACCTCCTATCACCAACGACAGGAGTTAGCACCAGGCGACAGGAGCAGCGCCAGGTGACAGCCTTGTCATCTCGCGCTAAGTTAGAACTAAAATGGCTTTGTAATGCGGAATCATTTTCTTAATACGATTAAGCAGCTAATCCCGCGTTAAGCAGATTAAAATCATATTTGTGACAAATCACATATTTTATTCAAAATAAAACTCTTTAAAATATAATTATCAATCCTAATCCTAATAGAATTTAAAATAACCTTTTATATAATTCTAGAAGATTAAAAGTCAATCCTACATCATTGTGCCACTCATAAAATCATTTTGGACCTAATTTAATTTAATCCATAACTTCCTCATTATTCATCAGAATTTGGCTTATAATATATCGTTAGAAAGCTCTTTTTGAGTCCAATCCAACTACACTATCATTGGACCCTTATCATGGACCAAACTAAATTGGGCTGGATATTTTAATAAAATAGAGTGTAAGAAGAAATTTTTTGAAAACAGAAAAAGAGATATTTTAATAAATACATCCACATCACTAGACTTTTCACACTTTCACTTCGTTCGATAAGCAAATGGCATTAAAGGTATTCATCACTGGGTTTAGTTTTGGGGAGACACATTTGGGTGTCTACAAATATTCAAAATTTTGAAATACGATCCTAGAAAAATGCTAAAAAAAATTTAAAAAGGAAGAACCAAGCTCGAAATTGATCAACAAAAAACTTATCAAATATAAACAAAATCTGCTCATCAAATTGGAAACAGATTATCTTGAAAATACAGAAAAATTATCAACAAACATATAATTTGAAATCTCAAACTTAAAAATCATGAAATATTTTAAAGTATTGATATTATAGCTTCGACATAATCTGGACTTTATCAACCATAAAATTCATGGCAAGAACTCATGGAATAATAAGGAGAAAAAAAAAAAGAAAAAACACCTCTTTAATTCATAGTTTCATAGTTAACCTGTTAGAAGGGGTTGCAATGGACAATGTGAGTGAAAGGTTTAATAGGATAGCTAAGTCTTTTAATAGAGCACAGTCTTTTGCATTAGTGGATGAGATGACCATCAATAAATGAGTCATTATACATAATTCATCACATCTCAAAGTCTCATACTTCCGTAAATTCATCCAATTCAACATTTCATCTATAGAACAACACCGCCAATTTAGTCAACCCCCAAATTGAATGAAATATGTAGAAGGATTATTGTACAAAAGAAATACAACTTTCCTTGAAGATCCCTGATTCCCTTTATATCAAATCAAAACAAAGGATAATGTTTTCGACAACCGTGCAACCTTAACAAATCAACCTTCAAGATTTAACATAATCAACTAAAATCAACCATTTCTTCATAAGAAACTATGTAAATCTCATCACATAAGATAAATCATGCCATATACATCACCAAAATAAGAAAGCATTTAATTATAAATAAAAATCAATTAAAGAGGAAATTACCTTGCGAAGAATCATGTCAATGAGATCAGCACCATCTTTTGAATCACAAACATCGTTCTGTTGGCTGTAATCAAAATCAAACCAACCAAAATTCAGCAAAAAAATCAAAAAAAAAATTAACACAAATTTTTGTAGAAAATTCAAACAAAAATTTCATTTCATTTCTCCAACTATTTCAGATTAATAGTAAACGCAAACTAAATTCGATAAACAAAGTAAAAAAAAAAACATGAAAACTCAACCAAATAACAATTAAACTACTGACAGAATGATAGTCTAAGAAAATCATCTGAAACGACCTTAAGCTGCTTGCGTTGCTTAGACTTAGCAATCTCCTTAAGAGTTTTCCTCTTCGCAATCGAATGCTGCCGAATCTCTTCCTTCAACTCATTCTCCCTCTCTTTGCATGCCTTCTTTAACTCTATATTTCGAAGATTTTTCATTAGTTAATTTTGAAAATTCCAGCTAGATATAACCCATAATAATTACTGGTTAATTAAGAAAAAATCTAGTTAGATCTAACAAATTTTTGAAATTAAAAAATAATAGGGTTATTTGTTTAATTATAGATAAACTAGATCTTATCTAAAATTGTATATGAAAATTGGGAAATTAAATTGGGGAAATTAGAGAACAAATACCTGGGAAAGGATGATTTATAGGAGGATAAAAGGAAGCAAGTGGCCTACTTGAAAATGGTGAAATGACAGCGCATTAGTGTGAAATTAAGGTAGTACGGCATCGTTGTAGGACCGACCTTGCACCACAGCCGCTGTTTCTAGTCTTGCTAGGACTGACCGACGCGCCGACAAGAT